GCAAAGAGCGTCATAAAGAAGTCGCATTTCATGGTTTATGACAGCACTCGTCTCTACACACCAGTCAGTCACTTTGTCTACAGTTGCCTGTAGTTCTTGGGTTATCTGTTGCCTATCGCTCCCCTGTCTATATGCAATAAGATCATCTGCAAATGTCAAAATCCTTCCAACTCATTGTGCTTAAAGTTATTGGATACTAAAAAACACAGTAGACAGGACATTAAGAGGCATACGATGGACTCCATTCACCATGCTTGAGGACCTTGATTTTGCAGATGATATAGCACTCCTATCACATAAACATGAACATATACAAGAGAAAAGTAACAGACTAAACTGCACAGCAGAAATGGTGGGACTGAGAAAAAATACAAAGAAAACTATAACATCATGACAAAAAGTCGAAACCAACAACCAGTGACCATAAGTAACCAATCACTTTAAAATGTAGAACATTTCACATATCTTGGCAGTGTGGTGTCCCTACTGGGAGGGACAGAGGAAGTCATACAGTCACGTCTGAACAAAGCTAGCGCTGCTTTTGGAAGGATGAGGCAAATCTGGAAATCCAACATTTACTGCAGAGGAACGAAACTCCGACTCTACAAGAGCATCATTTTGCCAGTTCTTCTTTATGGAGCGGAATGCTGGAGAATGACCAAAAAAGATGCACACAAGCTGTCCACCTTCCACCACATATGTCTACGTAGAATTATCAAAATTTTCTGGCCAGATACAATCTCAAACACTAAACTAATTCAAGCCACAAACCAAGAAACTTTAGACAGTATGATTACCAAGAGAAGATGGAAATGGCTTGGCCACGTTATGAGAATGACTTCTGATAAACCTGCCAAAACAGCTCTCACGTGGACTCCAGAGGGAAAGAGAAAACAGGGGCGACCAAAAACAACACGGAGACGAACGATAAAAAGTGACCTGAGTGCGGCATCTTTGACATGGAAAACTGCACTGAAGATTGCACAGGACAGGAAAGCATGGAAAGTCCTCTCTGAAACCTCATGTGCCACTAGGCATAACGAGAACTGATGATGAATGGTGTGGCCTCTTGGTTATTTTTAAACTAGATTAAATCAAAATCTTCAAGCTGTTGCGTTGAGACTAAGTGCAGTCAACAATGGCGGACAGGGCGTCTTGACCATACAGTACTGACCACAGAGCGACCGCCTTTTTATACCCAGTGGCCAGGCGTTTTCCCAATTTACTGTCTAAAACTAAAAGCTGTTCCTGTGGCCTCTTGGTCATTTTTAAACCAGATTGAACGAAAATCTATCACACTGATATCAGTTATCATTATTAGTTTTAAAAATAAGTATGGGACTCTATTCCACGCCTTTAGGAGTGTAGGGCATATAGGGCTAGACCTATATTTTTATTGAACAAACGGCACAAGATGGGTGATGTTTTCAGCATCAGGCCGGCCGCCTCTACTTCCCAGGACTGCACCCCGAACCCATTCAAGGATGGGTCGACCTGGGAGCTAAGGTCATTTTTTGAAAAAAGTCCGGCTCCTCCAGGGAGCTAACCCACGACCTTCCAATACGCGGCGAGCGTCTAGCCGCTCCGCCACGGGGACTCCAATCATTAATGGTATTCGATAGAGCATCGCTAGTTAAATGTCTACGTTCTCTCTCATAAGGATCAGTTTGTGTTATGAATGTCTGCAAAAATGTGTCCTTATTGTTATCTGGTGTCTTGAGTATGCCGTTATCGGTGTATAAAATGTTCATTGTGATAGGTCGATCCTTTCCTTTATTTTGCTTTTAAGTTTCCAGAACCTACCCTGTGGTTTATCCCCTCCAATTTCGTTCATAAAAATATCCCATTTACAATGCTTGTGGATCAGAAGAAGACGAAAATCACTACATACATGGAGCTACAAATGTCAAACGAAAGTAACCGGGTAGGCTAACCTACACGCAGGAATGTAGCAGATGTAAACAGACACGTTACGCGGACAAACATTGCAAAAGAAAATGTCCTAAAGATATTAACTTGTTAGATCTGTTTGGCTACTCCCAGAAAAACGAGTCTGTAGTTTGTCGGAACTGTCTGGCTGGAACTGAATGAGGTGAATCTTCCTACAGCTGATTACTCCGAGCTGACGCAGTCGTTATGGGTACCCTAATTATAAGTGGGTTAGGGGTTGATTCGTGTATCTTGGATCCGCCATATAGACTGATTTTTTAAAAATCTGATAGTGGTAAACGATCAGGTAATATCCTAGAAATAAAAAACTGATCGATGCAAATTGAGGTGGTATTATTTGGAAGCGACCGGTTGAAATTCTGGTATGGTCTTCTATGTGTTGTTGTCTAATACATCTCCTCCTATCTATCAACTTTTTTTTTTTAGCTGTAGCAATACTTTTGAATGCCTGTGTCATGTTTTCTCTGGTACTGTATTCACATGTTCAAAGTAAGCTTATTCACCAGCATGAACTATGACCACTACCAAACTTTGGTCTTTTGCCAGAACTAGAGAACATCCGTTTTACAGATCAGACTTATTTGTATGCAGACTGAATATGGCATAGAACTGACTTGTACATCTTAGAAAGATGCTAAGATCAGTTGTTGTCTGCAAGCCGCAGTGACCTGATTTTCACTGCAGGACAGATTGATCTGCTGAAGAGCCTAAGGGAATCAGCTCTTGTGACAAGTCCACAAACTGTGTGTCTTTTCAGTTAACAATTGTTTGTAGAGCTGACACAGCATCAGTGAAAAAGTCGATTCTATTATACTTGCTGTGCTGTTGTACATTCAGAACCCACTGACAAATATAAGGCATTTCGCCAGAGTCGACTAACTGGCAGCTTTCTTCGAAATCGGAGTGCATTTGCCTGAGAGGCAAGAAACCAATAGTCTCCATACAAATGAGTCAGGCAATAGTGATGTGCGCGCCACCCTCAGGTTCTGGAACAGGACTAGAGACCAGAAGAGGATGAACAACTAGAACTTGCCACTGTAGTTTACAGCCGGTGAATGCGAAGACAAAAAATAGTATGTGCAGGAAAGTGCAACTGCCTCTGCTCTATAGCTGGAGAAACATGCACCTGTTGGTATTGCTTACTGAATTTTTAAATCATTTCGGCATTCAATATATATTCATCCGCCCCCGTTTCTGACTGCCCTATTCGCTCACTCATTTATATAATTCCAAATCCAGCTCTAGCATGGATACACTCTTTTGTTAATCTATGTTGCTGTAATGGACCTCATAGCAGAGCTGCTCATTGATGATTTGGAGGAGATCCCTGTAATAGTGGTTCCTATTGTTGACAGCTTATCCCTAAGCCTGAGCCCCCCGGGGGGGGGGAGGGGTTATATAGTTTGAGAGGGATATTATGTACTATAGGAGTAAGTTTCAGGTCAGCAGCTTGGTATTGGCATTCTTGATAAAACATGTTCTCTTCAGCCTACCCTCTGTGGTTTCTGCAGTCGACTGTGCGTGGCTTATTCTTTCGTGGCTGTATTTAAAGAGCTGAATAATGAACTTTTTGTCTTTCCTGTTCTCTAGGACATGGAGACCAGTAACTGTTTCCATGTCTGATACGGGCATAGAACACATATCTCCTGTCATAATTCGGTGGGTCTAATATTTGTTTTTCTCCAAATGACCTTATCTTTACCGGCTGATTGGAGTACTATTGCCCCTATCGTTTTGACTGATAAGGACTCTCTTTTCGTTAAATACGTTGTATGTCATTGAGGTGAAGGGGGGAGGGGGTGGTTAATATCATAATCAAGTGCCTCCGATTGGGCGATGGACGGAGTCCACTTTGATCTACATTTGTTGGATGCTAAGATAAACAGAGGCTCAAAAGTCGGCTCCATAAAACTTGTGTGTATATTGTGAAAATGGTATAGGTCGGTGGACAAATGTGTACATCGTAGAAATAGAATCTGTTGGATATCAAGATCAAATGTTGTCTAAAAGTCAGTTTTATGCTAGCTTATAGTTATTTACGTCATCGAGTGACGTTCAACCCCATCAGACCGCACAACCAGCAGCTAACACCAGGTGACACAAAGTACAACAATTAGGATGAGACCCCACAGGCACAAGTCACAGAAACCCTGTTCAACCGTTAATTTATATTAGGATTCCCGGTAACAATCGGGGTTTGGCTTTTCAACAACACAACACTGCCTCCCATACTGGGACGTAAATGCTAATTTATGTCATCACTTTAGATTTTCGTAAGGCCAGCATGAGGACCTAATATAGCCCAGCTATTTAACACTGTAACTTATATCCAGTTTCGTCCTTTTTAGGGCGAAATTTTTTGTTATTTGAAGCCCCACCCTGGCTTTTGCCAGGGGCCGCAATATATACAGGCCATAAATATGGCCAATTGTCTGAACGCGGTTTCTGGGACCTCTCCACGGCGATCCTCATCGGCATGGTGGCACTTTGTGTCATCGGGTGTTTATCGCCTGTGTGGTGTTCTGGTGGGGTAGAAAGTCAAGTCAAGCTGTTTTAACCGTGGAGACTTTACAGGGTCACTCTTTCCTTTTCACCGATTTGAAAGGGGAACGACTTTTTCCGTTATACCGATTAGCGTTAGCCCGTCTGCCGCGGAAACTAGGCAGGGTCACTCTTTCCTTTTTACCGATTGGAAAGGGGAACAACTCTTTCCGTTTTACTGAGTGGCGATAGCCCGGCAGTTTTAACCTTGGATGCTTGCTATGTTCACTATTTCCTGTTGTAACCAATAGGAAAGAGAAAACGACTCTTTCTTTTTATCGATTGGCGATAGCCCGACTGTTTTAACCGCGGAAACTTGGCAGGGTCACTCGGCCAAATCAAAGGGAGACAAAACAAACTGGAAACACGAAGAAAAGGAAAGACATGCACAAGTTACACCAGGATGGAGGACGAGCGGTTTGAATCGGGTGGAAGCATCAAGCCCAGAAATGGAACAAACACTCGAATTTAGTCACGAAAGTGACATTGCAAATTTACAAGAGAAGAAAATGAGCGACAGATACGATCGTGCTATTACTGTATTTTCTCCTGATGGCCACTTATTTCAGGTTGAAGATGCACAGGAAGCTGTCAAGAAAGGATCAACCGCTGTGGGAGTCCGTGGAAAGAATATTGTAGTTCTTGGAGTTGAAAAGAAGGCAGTTGCCAAACTTCAGGAAGACATAACAGTGAGGAAAATCGCCTTGCTAGATGATCACGTGGCTTTAGCTTTTGCTGGCTTAACAGCCGATGCTCGAATCCTCATCAATCGGGCCTGAGTCGAATGTCTGAGTCACAGACTGACAGTGGAAGACCCTGTTACAGTCGAATATATCACACAGTACATCCCCAGCTCAAGCAGCGTTACACACAGAGCAATGGACGCAGCCCTTTTGGTTTGTCAGCACTCATCATCAGCTTCGACAATGATGGAACTCCAAGATTGTACCAGACAGACCCCTCGGGTACTTACCATGAATGGAAGACCAACACTATCGGCCGCAGTGCCAAAACTGTACGAGAGTTCTTGGAGAAGCACTACACCGAGGAAGTCCAGGCTAACGACGATGAATGCATCAAACTGACTCTGAAAGCTCTGCTAGAAGTGGTCCAGTCCGGGGGTAAAAACATGGAGGTGGCCGTCATGAGACGAGGAAAGCCTCTACAGATGATAAAGTAGGAAAAAATAGAAGAATATATTACTGAGATTGAGAAGGAACGAGAAGAAGAAGCCGAGCAAAAATGATCAGTGCCGCTTGTGTGTTAGATACTGTTAGTTTAACCATCATTCTGGGTACTTCGTAACAGAGATGTTTTTTTTTTTTTTACATTTTGTTTTCAAACTACTCAATTCTTCATCTTATTCCTCATTTTTTTTTTTTTTTTTTTTTATCTTAGTCGCTGCTATTCGACCTTGGGGTGTAGAGGGTTGCCAGATTGTTCGTCAGACTTCTCTCCCAGCAGTTTTCTTTTCTGTGGCTTTGTTCCATTGAAGTCCTTGATCAGTCAGATGTTGTCTTCCCAGTGAACCCTGAGTTGTCCTGGTGGTTTGATTCTTGGCCTGCCATGACTGCCCTTATTCCTCATAGAGTAAATTTTTTTTTTTTTTTATGTTGTCTCTCGACAAGGGTTGTTAATTTTTGTTGTCAGTTATGTGGATGACTTCTCCACGTATTGGCAGTATTTCAGTTTGTATTCTTTTGCTCTAGAACTTGAATGTTGCAGGATAATTTCTAAAGTATCATAGACCCCGTAGGGGAACAGTAGTGACATTCTTCGTGATCTGATTATGGGGGGGGGGGGGGTGTCAAAAATAATGGTTTTTCATAAACCCAAATACTGTGGTAATATTAACCAATGTAATAGTTTTGAGAGATCAGGAATGGAGGGCGTGGCGGTTCTGGGAGAATAGGCAGGGGACAACCAGCTCAATGTTGGACATAGCATATCAAAGACAACCTGTGCATGTTGACACCTGTGCACGTCAGGGACATCCTGGACACAAGGCAGAAAGGTTGGCTAATGACCCAGTGGTCATCAGGCCTGCTGCAGTGTGAGATCCCCCAGTGGTCATCGGGCCTGCTGCAGTGTGAGATTCTCCAGTGGTAAACAGGCCTGCTGCAGTGTGAGATCCCCCAGTGGTCATCAGGCCTGCTGCAGTGTGTGAGATTCCCCAGTGGTCATCAAGCCTGCTGCAGTGTGTGAGATTCCCCAGTGGTCATCAGGCCTGCTGCAGTGTGAGATCCCCAGTGGTCATCAGGCCTGCTGCAGTGTGTGAGATCCCCCAGTGGTCATCAGGCCTGCTGCAGTGTGTGAGATTCCCCAGTGGTCATCAGGCCTGCTGCAGTGTGCGAGATTCCCCAGTGGTAAACAGGCCTGCTGCAGTGTGAGATTCCCCAGTGGTCATCAGGCCTGCTGCAGTGTGAGATTCCCCAGTGGTAAACAGGCCTGCTGCAGTGTGTGAGATTCCCTAGTGGTAAACAGGCCTGCTGCAGTGTGTGAGATTCCCCAGTGGTAAACAGGCCTGCTGCAGTGTGTGAGATCCTGCAAAGGATCTGCTACATGATGATGATCCTTGTTTGTTGGTCAAAAACTTTGGTTCAGATGTTTATTTGCATTCGTGTTATTCTTTCCCTTTGGAGGTCTTGGTTATATGTTGTTTATTTATACATCTGTCCTTTGAATACAAGCATGGGCTCCTTTAGAAAAGGGGGGGGGGGGGGGGGGGGATAACCACTGACTTGAGACAAAACAACAGATTATACATTCTCTCTGTTATGAAGTTCGCAGGTGTAAATGTTTACCTTTTCACATTTTAATCATGACTGTTTGTTGAATTTATAATAAACATTGTGTTTCTTTTGAAAAAAAAAAATAACTTGCTTCTCAAAAGACTAGGACTAGGACCAGGGTCACTGATTCCTTTTCACCGATAGGGAAGGAAAACTAGGCTTTCCTTTTTATCGATTGGCGTTAGTCCGGCTGTTTTAACCGAGGAGACTAAGCAGGGTAACTCTTTCCTGTTTTAACTGATAGGAAAATGTCGTGAATCCCCGAGTGGTTAGATAATTTTGTGAAGAGTAGGAGTTTAACTCTCAACACTTCATTTACTCCTCGTCCTTTCATATGAAATTTATTATTATTTGAAGCCTTACTCTGGCTTTTGCCAGGGGCCGCAATATAGCCTGACCATAAATATGGCCTAAAGGCTGAACGCGGTTTCTGGGACCTCTCCGCAGTGATCCTCACCCACAGGTGGCACTTTGTGTCATCGGATGTTTATCGCTTGATTGATGTCCTGGTGGGGTAGAAAGTCAGTCAACACTTCATCTTCTTCAGAGATACTAGACTAATATCCGAGCTATGTTGATCTCAATCAAAACCCTGGATATCCAAGAAAACAGCCATCTTGAGCTCGTCATGTAAATACACAACAGCTGCCCTTTGTTCCCACGGGAGAAGGAAAGAGGTTTTAGATGTCTATATTATTATAATTTTTGAATTACTAGACAAGACAGGTGACCCTTCCCGACTACCTTCTCCTGGTAAAGAATTATTAATGAGCTCCCACCAACTCATACCAAATGCAATTTTAACTAACAGTTTAGTTAAACATGTAAGAACAAACACTTAGAATTTAACAAACGATGTAGTATAAAACCATATATTTGATTTATTCATCATCATCATCATCATCAGGTGCCTTGCCGACTGGCGTGGGCGATCATGCCTCTACATAATCTGCGATCTCCTGCAGCATGTATCAGTTCGTGTGCCAACGCACCTCCATGCCATGCAACAAGACTGTCAAGCCCACCAACCACAATTCCGGGCATACCAATTAAAGCTCTCATTATATATACACTGTATATTTAATTTATTACACGAGCAATAATTTAGATGATATTTTTAAAATATATTTTTGATTAAACAGTGATGGAATGGTGGTCATGAGATGCTTCAGCTAGAGAACTGAGGACATGAGATAACAGTGAAGTTATAATGATGATGATACGTTTACAAACAAAAAAATTAACATAACTTAGTGACAATGCAAGATAAAACCCCTGACAGCGTTAAGGCACTGTCAAGCTTTTCCGCCTTCTCCAACTTCTTTCCAGCTGCTTCCCAGCTTGTTCCAACCTTTTTGCTAGCTTGCCGATCTCTCACACAATGTAGGTTCGTGCACATTGACACTCTGTTTCTGCTATCAGAACTGACTAGTCTTTATCCCCTTTATGCAGGGTCACTCTTTCCTGTTTTAACCAATAGGGACGGAAAACGACTCTTTACATTTTACGGATTGGCGATAACACAACTGTTTTAACAAAAGAGACTTGGCAGGTTTCTGCATGTACAGTATAAATAAATTTGTTTCATTACTGGCCCTGCATTTATTTTACCGTACTTCCACAGTTATAAGTAATAACACAGTAACATTCTCAAAATTACCACTACTACATTGCAAATGTAATGGTCTGCACTCACTAGATCAATCTAGAAATTAACTGGGAAACCTAAAGTATTACTCTGTCAGAATAAAGATTTGTATGCTTGTTTCGTAGACTACAGCAAAGCACTTGACTGTATTCAACACCGTAAACTATGACATATAATGAGAGGCATGGGATTTCAAAAACATCTGGCGCACTTAACCGTGAACAACGAGCAGCAGAGTATCTGGTGAAATATAATAGTGGTTTGAAGTAAGAAAGCAGTGAGACAGGGCTGTATTCTTTATCCGACCCTTTTTAACATCTATGCTGAGAATATTATGACAAACGCAATTAGCGATGAGGCATGTGAGAGCTTTGATCAACTAAACAATACAGGTGATCCTATCTCAAAACTCAGATATGCAGACGGCTCAGTTCTCCCTTCCAACAGTGTACACTGTTTAGACAAATTACATCTGGTGGTTACAGAGCACAAGAAAGAAGTGAATTTCGTTTTCGGAATTAAAAAAAAAATAATAATATTCTCAGTAAATACATCAGACCAACCACATATCACAATCGATTATTACAAAAAAAAAATGTAACAAATTTCGAATGCTTGGGCTCTTTAGTGAACAACTGCTCGAAAGAAGTCGCATCAGCAATGCATAGATTAAACAACATGAAGAACCTATTAAAAAAAAAAAAAAGCACCCGTAAATTAGTTAAAGATCATACATTTTTCCTGTGCAGTTTACTGTTGTGAGTCCTGGACTCGCATTTAATCACTGAAGAAAAGACTGGAGCTTTTGAATTAAAATGTTAAAGAAAATTCTCAGAATACCATGGATCAAGAAGAGGAAAAACATCAGAACCAAAACTAGAACTGGCTCATAAACAGCGTCCTATCCCGAAAGTTGAAGTATGGTTGCCACATCAAACGTCATTGTGGTTTGGAAAAGAGGGTGATGGAGGGTGCAGTTTATGGAAAGTGAGGCAGGGGTCTCAAAGACCAACCCCACGTCCTCGTCGTGAGAGGTGGTAACAGGACAAAGTAGGGGATTGCTAGCTGTGGGCGAAGTATGGTGTGGCCTCGTGCCACGGACCGCTACGGTAGCCATGAAGGCCACCCTGGGTCACCCCGAAACGTCCTGGCCAACGGGACTCTGGTGAAGTTGCGACAGGCCTAGCAAGCCGGCAATGGGTTTTTTTACCGCTACGGAAATCAAAATGAGATATAAACGGACTGATCAAACGGTATCTGACCATGGCAATGTTAAGGGACTACGAGACAGAACAGCGAAATACAAGATTGCAACACTTAACACCGCTGGCCTGGGAAATAAAACAGAAGAGATAATTGAAATGATGAAAAAAAGAAAAATCAAGTTAATGGGGCTAGCTGACATAAGACGCAAGGGAAATATTAATAAGAAAATACACAGAGGCTACTTACTAACATATGCAGGAGGAGAAACATCGAAGAATGGAGTGGGTTTCCTGGTACATCCGGACATATCTAACTACATATTAGACATACATTATCACTCAGATAGAATTATTACTTTGAAAATTAAAAGAGGAGAACAAGCTGAAACATATATACAGATATATGCACCATGCAATGATAATTATACAGAAGAGCAGAAAGATGAATTCTTTGACGATCTGTCTGATGAGATAAAGAAAGTTGAGGGAAGAAGCATACCAAATGTAATGGGTGACTTCAACGGGAGGGTAGGAAATAACAGAAGAGAATACGAACAGTTTTTAGGTCCATATGCAGCTAAGAACAGTGCTAGAAATGGAAATGGTCAAAGAATATTGGATCTATGCAGCCAGCACAATCTTTTTATTACGAACACATTCTTTGACCATAGAGATTCACAACTTTACACTTGGTACAAATGGAATGATGTCTCCATCAAGAGCCAGATTGACTTTATGCTTACCAGAGTTCAAGGAAGAAGGAGAATTCTTGATTCAAGAGCAATCCCTAATGGTCTATGTGACACTGACCATAAAATAGTTGTGTTAATAGCAAAACATCTTACATTTAAGAAACACAGAAAGAAATTAAACAAAAACAAGGATCTCATCAAGAAAGCAAATCTGAAACAGGAAGGAGTAAAAAAACAGTTACAACAGAAAGTAGAGGCAGCATTCAAACAACTTCCACATGTAGTTGGCAATATTGAGGAAGAATGGAGTATATATAAAAACACTATGCTTAGTATTGCAGAAGAATTATGTGGAAAACGGAAGAGTGGAAACAGACGGGGAAATAACAAATATTCACCTTGGTGGTGCGAAGAAGTAAAAGAAGCAATTAAGAAGAAAAAAGACTTATATAAACAGTGGATAAAATCAAAGAAAGAAGAAGATTATATAAACTATAGACTGCAAAGGAGAGAAACCAACAGGAGTGTCAAGAAAGCAAAACAAGCATCCTGGGAACGTTTCGGTGAGTCACTAGCAGAAAATGAGAAAACAGCCAGCAGAAAATTTTTCAAAGTGGTAAAAAATATGCGGAAAAGAGATGAGAGCTACAACCCCACTGAAATAATTAATGATAAGACAGGAAGGCCATTGATAGATCCACCCGAGATAGCAGAAAGATGGAGGGAATACTTCAATGAGCTCTTTAATCCTCTAGGAGATCATCAGGAAAGAACAACTGAAGAGCACAGAGCAACAGTGTTAGAACCACACATACTAATGGATGAAATAGAAAAAGTCATTAAACAGTCTCCCAAATATAAAGCACCAGGAGCTGATAGATTACCAACATAAATAATTCAAGCAGCAGGTGAAAGCAGCATCAGATGGCTTCACAGAATATTCAATGCAGCATGGGTACAACAAACGGCCCCTATTGATTGGCAACATGCAATAGTTATACCATTGTGGAAGAACAAAGGAAGCAAACGAGAATGCGGTTAATATCGAGGCATCTCTCTTTTAAGCCATGTTGGCAAAATGTATGCCAAGATAATAGAAACAAGACTGAGACCAGTGATAGAACCACAGCTGGCAGAAGAACAGATGGGATTTAGGAGAAATAGAAGCTGCACAGATGCAATCTTCACACTTAAACAGTTAATAGAAAAGAACATTGAATACAATAAGAACTTATTTCTGGCATTCGTAGACCAGGAGAAGGCATTTGACAGAGTCGACAGACAATTACTATTGAAAATAAAGTCAAGATATGGAGTAAGCGAACACCTCATCGAAGTGTGCAAAAGTTTATACAGGGATTGTAGAAGTGTAGTTAGAATAAATCAGGGAACATCTCATCCTTTCACAGTGACATCTGGAGTAAGACAGGGGTATGTCTTATCACCACTGCTGTTTATCACCTACATCGACAGTATATGCAAGAATGCCAAGCCCATGAATGAAGATCTTAGTAAGATCAACGAATTACTCTTTGCAGATGACCAGGCCTTGATAGCAGATACAGCCATGAAATTGCAACAACATCTAACATCCATGAATGAAGAATGTAAAACAAATAATATGAGAATCAACACTGAAAAGACAGAAGTAATGTCAATAGGAAAAAAGAAGACAGATCTAAACATAGCAATAGAATACAAAGACATTAAACAGGCATCTGAGTTTAAATATCTGGGAGCTACATTTACCGAAGATGGGAAATTGGATAAAGAAATTGACATTAGATGCAGTAAAGCAAACCAAGTATTGGGACAGCTAGCCCCCCTCTTACAGCATAAGACAATCCCAATCAGCACAAAGAGACATCTTATTCAAAGCATATTTATTCCAACTCTGTGCTACCAGTGCCAGACATGATCACTCACAACAAACCATAAAAGAAAATTAGTAACCACTGAAATGAGATGTCTGAGAAGGGCTGTAGGAGTGACCATAAGAGATAAGATCAGGAATGAGATCATAAGAGAACAAGTCGGCGCAGAACCAATTCTGGATTACATACAAAGACAACAAGTGAAATGGTTTGCTCACTTAGAGAGAATGCCTTGTGACACCATACCATACAAAGCATACATGGAAAGAGAAGAAGGACGTAGAGCACGGGGTAGACCAAGAACAAGATGGAAGGATAACATCAGAGAAACTCTACAACAGCACGATGTGCCTCTGGTCGGGGCAGCCAGAAGAGCTAGAAACGGAACCTTATATCTCCCTCGACACCCACAGCGGTAAAAGAGGAAGTGAAGAAGAAGAAGAAGAAGAAGAAGAGGCAGGGGTCAACCTTTGCGAAGAAGGATACAGGACATTGAGGAGTCATTGGCACTGAAAGCATTTGGGGCCCGAGAGCTGGCTAGGGAAAGGGATACTTTTAGGCGTGCCGAAAAAAAAGAGCAACGTTCTGTAAAGAACTTGCTTATTTTTTTTAATTGTTGTCACTCTCCTGGGAGGTGAGCTTATTTAGTACAAATACGTCACTTCCGACCTAACAATAACCACTCGTTTCTCTGACGACTATATATTTTATATAATTGACTCTTAGTTAGGGGGGCAACATGTCTTCTGCCCCGATAGCCGAACGAAATCAAGGTTTGTACAGCTACCATATACGGGCACTGATGTTTGTCAGTTGACTACTGTTTTGACATGTTCATTAAATTAAAAAAGTTACTGATGTGAAACCAACCTATTATCGATACTCATTCTCAGAATGATTCTGTTGCTGTGTTGTTCTGAACATTGAACATGCAGCTCGTTTCACCATTCGCACGAAATCCGCAAGTACAATTGGGACGAAAACTAAGAACAGCAGTCTACAAAATTGGCTGTTGGGCCTTGGGCTCTCCCCCGCCGAAGAACAAATCGCGGCAAAACTAGGATTACCTCTGAATATTGGGCCAATATTATCGAGGACAAACAAATAATACTCTAACAGGGTCTCAGTGAAATGTTAAATTGCGATCCTGTTTCTGCAACTATGTTGCATAGATGACGGTATTCCCTGCACCGCTGTGTGGCGGGGATAGGGGGCTAAATTAGAATTAATTAGATGTCTGGGATTCACGAGCAAATAAATTGGAGGAAGTTGCAGGAGATGAGGTAGCTGCTGCTTGTGAGTTCCAGCCATCTAGTTTAGTTTAGTCCCATATCCGCGCGGCGCTGAGGATACGCTGGGCGGTAAGTTGAATCGGAATAACACTCGCTAACCTGCGTCGGAGCACGTTTTCTTCCCGCCATGTCGCTATTATCGGGTGTATTGTTGCGTTTCTCAATTGTCAACAGACAGTAGATGAGTAATCCTAGTTTTACCACAATGTGTTCATCGGAGGAAGTCCGCATTTTACACACGACTGAGGCCCTGTTAGGGTATTTGTTTGGCCGTCATAATATGGGGATGAAGTTCAGAGAGCCAGCTGTTGTGTTACTGTTATTTGTTAGTTCTGGACAAATCTTCACTTTACTTCTGTTCTAGTCTTAAAAAAGTTAATTTATTAAAAAAATTATGTTATTTATTTATTTAAAAATGAGTAATAATAATAATAAACATTTACATTCCCCAGCGTTGTACTATTTGTACAGTCTCCTTCTCTGTATCATTCTGTCTGCTTGCCTTTCTCTCCCTCCCTTTGTGTAACATATCTGTCTGTTTGTCCTTGTCACCTCTCCTCTGTGTTCCTTTCATGCCTCTCTCTCTTTTCCCCTTTGTGCCACCATCCCTGCCTATCTTTCTTTCCTTCTTTCCATCTCTGTGCCAACCTTTGTTTATCTTCCCTCTTGTCTTCATTATCTGTCTGTCCCCTTCCCTCCCTCTCTCTGTCTTTGTATGTTTTGTTTCCTTCCATCTGCACAGTCTGCCTATTGCTCCTTTCTCCTCTTCTGTCTATGCTTGCCTAACTCTCTCTCTCTGTCCCTCCCTGCCTCTCATTCTTTCGTTCTCTCTGTCTGCCTTTCCCTTCTTCTCTTTGACTGCCTTCCCTTTCCTCCTGTGCCTTTGTCAGTCTCTCCTTTCTCTCTCTCTCTCTCTCTCTCTCTCTCTCTCTCTCTCTCTGGTATGTGGTCTAGAACAGACAACACTTTGATGATTCCCTTCTCACTTGTTGATTTACCCACCTGTTAAATCTTTCTACATAAGGCTGTTTCTGTCTTTTTTTTCCCTACCTCTCTTATCATGTGTTTTCTTCTTTTAGTGTGTGTTTGTGGCTGTTTACTGTTCCGTAAATTACATTTGTCTTTTCCTGGCAGTTTTGGTAACTACAGCTGTCAAAATTTCAGCATATGTTTCTTCTGTATGTACCATATTCAGGTTTGATTGTTTTGTCTTCACCATATATACAGCAAATGTTGTTTCAGCTTTTTTTTGTAACTACCAAGCATTCAGTTGTGCTAATGTTAAGAATGATCATCTTTTTAATTTGCTCCACACTGCCAACAAATCTGTGTCTGTGGGTGTAAATCCACATGTGTGTACACAAATCAAGTACTGCAAGGCAAAAATACAGTGAAAATCCTTGGAAAACAAATTGAGGAATTTTGATACAAACCTGGGTTTGTTACCAAATCACCTGGAGCTAACTTTGAACCCTGGTATGTCATGATTATGAAACTGCATTACTGATTCTTGCTCATTATGTTATCATATGGACCTGATATGAGACAGTCAGTTTCAGTCCACCTTCACAGAAAGTTGATTATGAAAACCAGCAGCTTGATTGTGGAAGAATGTCCAAGTTAGTGTCAGTCACAAGAATTCTATGAGAAAAATGACTTGCTTAACTCTGTGGCATTTTCCTGACAGAAATAGGTATTCTGTGAAACAGCATTGTGTGTGTGTGTGTGTGTGTATGTATCGTGACTGAATAAACTAAAATGTTCCTGCACACATGACATGGTCCATGTTTTTTCTTATGCTTCATTCCAGTGTATTCTCTGTAGTTTGTAACTTGAATGAAATAACCCATTACTTACTTACCATTACAGACAATGCACTGAGCACTGTATTTATACTGCATTCCAATACCAGCATCCATTTGGGTGGTCCATACAATGGAATATTGGTTTTGGAATTATGTTATCTCAATTGATCTATCAGCTGTTTCTCCTTCTGGCCCCTGTAGTGAAAAGTGTCTACCTTATTTGAGACTTATATGTGTTTGAGAGATGCTTACATTTTTCTTCTTTTGTGTACAGACGCCACTGTATACGTGGGCGGACTTGATGAAAAAGTACAGGAGAACATACTTTGGGAGTTGTTTCTCCAAGCTGGGCCAGTGGGTGAGTGCAGTTACCTAACAAAGAGAATAACAGATTAATCATATCTGTTTTACAGATTCATAATTTCTTTTTGAAGTTCAAATATAGATTGGCTAAACAGCATCTTGTCTCAGAAGCTGAAATATTTTGGTCATATCAAGCACCACGGAGGATTTGGAACAAATAAAATCAGAAGGCATCATACCAGGAAGGAGGGACAGGGGCTGACTGGCAAGAGGATGGCACAGGGTATAACTGGCTCCTTGAATATAAAAGTGCACGAGTCAGGAGAGCTGGGGAGAGACAGTCTCTTTCAGGCAGAATTTGATGTGATCAACATTCTGCAAAGGACCTGCTACATGATGATGATTTGGAATATTGGGCACCTTGATCAGAAACTAATGACTGCATAGAGAATGTTTGTTCTGTCCATGACATGTCTGATATAGCTGAAATACTGGCTTCTCTTATTCCCAGTTTACAAGATTGCTTCAACTAGTTGTCCTTATAGATGTTGATTTGTGGGTAAATCTCAGCTTTCATTCAGATGTTACATAGTTAATTGTCAGATCATCCTCAGTGCACATTTATTTATAACTGCTTGGATCCCCTCATCAGTAAATACTGTAGCATTTAGCGGCTGACAGTGTCCGTTTTGGGTTTGTTTACTATTTTCTTTGGCTTCCTACATAGGGCTTTTGTCTGGCTTCATACCTTTTCACTTGCTGTTCTTGTTGTCTGGTAATAGTTGCAGATTCACAGTCATCACCTGATTCTTGCAAATATCCTACTTCTCATACAAATTCAAAAAATCAGCCTGGTCCGTTTGCTTGTCCCACCTACACATTAGCCCTAACCACAAGATTAACAGCTTATTCAGTTTCTTTTCCCCCGCATGCTGTGGTACGAAAATGAAATTGATCTTCGTCAACCATGACTGCCTCAAAGACTCCAACCACTGCCTTCAGTCCCAGCCCATCACTGTCTCCTGAGCAAACTCATTGAGTCACTGCAACAGAAAGCATGTCTAAGTCTGTTTCTTCAGTTAGGTCATTGCTTTAGCTGTAGTTAATGCCATGACCTCCATATTCAGAATAGTTGCAGTCAAGGCAAAAAAAAAACAAAATCCTCCAACATGAGCTGCAAAAGCTCATGTGTCCAACCATGTTCCCATCTGTATAAATGACAGCATCACTTTAACAAGAATTCTCAAAAATTGGAACCGAATGTTGTGTAGGGTTAACAAACAAACACATAGTTCATTGCAGCAGAACAGTTTGTTGGTAAACAATAGTCACTGATCACATAGCTGATAGAAGTGCTAGCTTTTCAGTTGGAAGTTCATCTTACTGTTGTTCAGTATTCTTTTATTCCACCTGGTATATATCTTTCTTTGAGTTTCTGTCGGAAAATTTATACCAGGAGGCCAGAAGCCTTGATGAAAACTATCTTGTCATCCGTATCTCGTAATATACCGCAATCTCGTAATGTACCACACATCTTTGTCTTCATTGAAGTTGGAACATGCCAGATTGCTTTTCTGCTAGCAGCATACGGTTTACAGTGTTGGAGTACATGCTCAGCTTTTTCTTGTGCCAAGTTTCCTAGGGACAGGCTTAAATATGTTAGCAAAATCTGTTGTTCCCTGTATGTAGTCTGAATATGGCACAGTCTCTCTCTGGAGTCTTGTTTAGGGTTGGTGTGAGTATCCAGCCATGTTTCTTGGATACTAGTTTTTAGATTATTTTTTTAAAATTAATATCTTAGTCTGTTGGTGGGTTAAGTCACAGTTTGATTGCATTGTGTTAATGCTGCTTCTGGCCAGTCTGTCTGCTCTTTCGAAGCCACAGTGACCTGGAATCCACTGCAGGGCAGATTGATCTACTGAAGAGCCTGAGTGAATCAGCTGATGCCAAGTGCATACTGTCTTGGGTTAAGACCATCCTGCTATATTTGTTATGCTGCTGTCTGTTCAGGAAAGTACATTTGCCCCTGCTCTGTAGTTGGGAGTAATGTGAACATGTTGGTATTGTTTGTTTAAGTTTGAAACAATATGATTATCAAAGGTATATTCATCTTTCTCAGTCTCTGATTGCCTCCTTGGCTGAACAATCAATATAAACCCTAATCCAGCTTTGAAATGGATACTGTCTGTTGATCTCTCCTTCTGTAATGGACCTCATAGCAGAGTTGCTCACTGATGATTTGGAGGAGATCCTAGTTATAGGGTAATGATTGTTGGTAGCTTGCCCCTACGCCTGAAAATAAAGAAGGGGTGGGGAGGCAGTGGTTGTAAGTTTTGTGTGGGATATTTGGTGCTACAGGAGTTAGTTCCAGGTCAACAAGCTTGGCATTTATATTCTTGTTAAAACATGTTCTCTTCAGCCTAACCCTCTGAGGTTTCTACAGTCCTCAGCATGGGTTGTTCTTCCAGGTGATGGTATTTGGAGAGCTGAATAAGGTGCTTTTTGTCTCTCCTATTCTCTAGGACATGAAGACCACTAAATGTTTCCATGTATGTTATAGGCATAAAGCACGTGGTCCATATCATAATGCAGAGAGCGTGTTTATGAATCTTTGAGACTTTTTGTGTGGAAATTGTTGATTTAGTAGCTGTCCCATATTGAAGTGTTGGCCTCGCATAACCTGTTGAGGACAGACGTTTGCCATATGTGAATATAATTGCTGTTCTATTTTTTAAAATAGAGGGGGGAGGGTGTGGTGTTGTGGAGGACATGCTTATAACTTGCAAAAGTAGCTTTTAAAATATGTTTTAGTTTTTTTGGCCATTATCTGATGTTTTCCAGTGAATGTGCACATGCCTAAAGACAGAGTCACACAGACACATCAAGGCTACGGCTTCATCGAGTTCATGAGTGAAGAAGATGCAGACTATGCCATCAAGATCATGAACATGATCAAGCTGTTTGGGAAACCCATAAGAGTTAACAAGGTTTGTACATGTTCAGCAGCAATGCTGTTTGTTCTTGTTCTTTTAAATACCAGCGGTTAAAGTTAGATGTAGCCTAGCACATATCTCACTGTTGCCATTGGCCAGATTTGTGCCTGCTAGTCTTGTAAAAAGATGGATGTGTAATATTATATGGGCCAGCCCGAAGATCTCAAGTTTGAATCCACGTATGATTTTTTGTCAAAATTGACTTTGGCTCCCAGGTTGACGCAGCCTAAAACAGATGCCTACTACTGTACTGGAAAGTAAAAGCACATGCATTTTACAGATCTGACATATTTTCTTCTTCTTCCTCTTTGTTCACCAGCTGTAAGTCTTGGTTGTTCGTCATTTTGGACTTTATCTAGGGTCTGAGTTTTGCGTGTACATCCGACTTACTTGTGTGCAGTTAGTTGTTGTACTCTGACTTCAGAGGAATCCCCAATTGGTCGACTCCTACAACATGCCTGTTGTCTGGGTCTGTTCTTGTTTTCCCCACATGGGGGCCCCGTAGCCCTCTCGAGCAGATGCACTCCGACTTTGAAGGAAGTCTTAAATTAGTTGACTCTTACCGACATGCATGTTGGGGAGGCAGTGGGACTATTCTTGTTGTCTCCCGTCCTCAAGGGAGCCCCGGTGACACACTGGGAATTCTACACACAAATAAGCCAGATCTATAAAACGGATGTACGCGTAAAACTCAGATCCAGAACAAGGCTAAAATCCAGAAGTGGATAAACAACGAAAACTTTACTCCAAAATTTACCTTTGTGAATACAAAAAAGAAGATGTGTAACAATGTTTTTTGACCCATCAAAATTTAGCTGTATAAAAATTTATTTCTTCAAATGCGTTATTTATGTGAACCATATTTTCTCATGTTGTCTGTATGATGTCTTCCTCAGGCTTCAGCCCACACTAAACGACAGGATATTGGAGCCAACATCTTCATTGGCAACCTGGACCCCGAAGTGGATGAGAAACTTTTATACGACACATTTAGTGCTTTTGGTGTCATTCTACAGACTCCAAAGGTTGGTTAAGAGTGGAGTCATGGAGAACATTGTGTGTCTTTATTTTCAAACAAAAATAAAACTTGTGTATTTCATGAGCAGAGGATCTGTGGTTGCGTAGTGGCTAGACACTTGCTTGTCAGTGACTCAGGTCTTGGGTTCACATCCACATTGCTGCAATTTGTTTGTTAAAACTGACCTGTGCTCTCAGGTAGATCCAGTTAAAAATGTGTACTAGGTAATGTTCTGGGAAGTAAAGGCAGCTTTCTTGATGAGTGACCATATCACTGACTAGTGCTGATTGTCTGTACAAATGTGAGTTTAGCTCAAAAGGGTCTTTTACACTGAGCAATTCTTATTTCGTGAACCTGCCAGCGTCCCTGCTGTGGGTGATGATATCTGTCATCATTGTGGGGATTTAGCTCAAGAGAATTAGGAATGCCTCAAACACGTAGAGAAGTAGAGGAGACCCTAAAAAATCAAAGCAGAGGAACCTTAAAGCACGTTGAGTTGAGTCAAAATTGACAGCACAGCACTCAAGGCATTCCCATACATGCTCCGTCCTCATCTTCAGTAGCCAGCGCAGAGTTCCTGTACTGATGAAGACAACACAAGATGATATTAGAGCTAAAGAAGATTTTAAGAAGAACATTTAAAACACAAGATGGTCCAATCAAAAGCGAAGATGGCACACTGCTCAAATCTGATGCTGAAAGAAGAAGAAAAGATGGGCAGAAAATTTAAAGGAGACCTTAAACAGGCCTGACCCACTAGACTTAATAAAGTTTGAAGAAGAGGCAAAAAGAAAATAGCAAATAACAAGACGACAGGTGATGATAATATTACAGCATAAAGTGTTTAAAGAAGCAGATGAGACAACTATCCAACAAATGCTAGAACTATTCAACAAAATATGGAAGAGAAAATAGTTCCAGAACAGTAAAAGACAGCAGTAATTGTGAAAATCCAGGCAAAATGTAATCTTTACGACTGAAATAATTGGAGATGAATTACCTTTTTTAACTGGGATGTCAAGAACCTTTTGTCAATTAATCCTCAATGTAGTTAAAGAGGCAGTTGATACAATCTTGAGAGGATAACAAGCTGGTTTTCCAACTGCAAGAAGTTGTCTGCGCGAGATAATTACTCAGAGACTTATTCTAGAACAACACATTGAGAAGCAAAAACCTCTCCTGAATTTTGTTGATTTAAAAAAAGTCTTTGATAGCTTACAAAGAATTTCACTATGGGGAGTTTTTTAATTCTACGGTATACCTGCCAAAATAATACACATTAGAAATTTATATGATGGTTGAGAATATGCAGTGTGCACTGAAAGTAGTCTAAGTGACTGGTTTCTTTTGTATGGAAATGGGTCAAACAAGGCTGCATTCTGTCTTCCTTGTTGTTTATTATAGCCATTGATTGGTTAGTGAAAAATTGTTTTGAATGCAATACTGGCATTGATTGGGTGAAGAATGGACAACTGGAAAATCTGGATTTTGCAGATGATATTGTTCTGTTAAGTAAAAATAACATGCAAAGAAAGACAAGACGGTTTGTCATCTGCATAAAAAATAGGACTATAAATAAGTTATGAGAAAACAAAAATATTAAAGATACTAACAACATATCATATAGAGAACTAACCAGTAAAAGTAACAGACCATTTTACCTATTTAGTATATGCACTAGCAAAGCAACAACAATCTTTATAAACCCTAACAAAATCTGGAGCTTCAAGTTTTACAGTTTTAAGACCAAACTACAAATCTTCAATTCAAACGTTGTTTCAATTCTAACATATGCCAGCGAATATCAGAGAACTACCAAAGATATAAAATGAAAGTTAAATGCATTTGAAAATACTTATCTGAAAAAAATATAAAATGGAATGAATTTAAAAAAAAAAGGAAATCATCATTGAAATGTCTGGACAAATACCTGTATCAACTGCAAGAAAACAAAGAAGGTGGAGATATATTTGGCGCACTCTGAGGCGAATGGGGCAAAGAATTACAAAACAAGCACTAAGATGGGAAACAAATCGTTTGAGAAAAAGAATTCGTCCCAGGGAAACATTCAGAAGAACATTATTATGAGAAGCAAACAATGCTGTTAGTTAGTTAGGTTATCATCATTGCACTCCGGACATGTCCATAGGTGCTCAGATCCTCCCCTCAGTATGAACCCCAACGTCCGATGGCCAATGGTACCAGTTCTATGTTGATTAACAAGTCTTTTCGTGTGCGTCTCGTTCTTTGCTATGCTGATCTTAATTCCCAAGTCTGCCATTCTGGCGAGTGATGTGGATTTACTGCCCCCAAAGTCTTCTATCCTTCCCATTTCTCTGAGGGCAAGCCTGTGCTGAAATGCAAGCCCTATGTGACGTCTAACGGCACAAAGAGTAGTGATGATAAAGCAAACAATTTGTTCCATAGCTAATGTATTGTCCATTTGTTCACAGTACTGGATGGTTTGGTCTCTGTCTTGGCCTGACTTAGTTAGTCTTTCCTCTTGTGTCAAGTGCGGCACATAGGGCAGAGGTCATGACTCTCCATGCATGGCGGTTCGTTGCAATCTGTTGTAGGTCTTGGATGTTTGAGTGGCTCATAAGTGAGCCTTCCCTGATAATAGTTCTTCGTAGGGTTTCCCTTGGTCTTCCACGAGATCTTTTCCCCTGTGGTGTCCAAATGAGGGCTTGGTGAGGAAGTCTTGATTTATTCATTCTAAGGGCGTGGCCGACATAGTTCCAGCGGCGTTTTCGTATAAAATTAGACACATACTCTTGCCTGGATTCTTGCCTTATTTGTGTATTGGTTCGGAAATCTGACCATTTGAAATTTAGTATTCTTCTAAGGCATTTATTTTCAAAACTGTCTAATTTTGTGTCTAGAGTTTTTAGTTGGCCTGACTGTTTATCAATATATAATGTTCATGCGGTGTCTTGAAGCGTTTTCATACGAAGCTACCATCTCACGGTCTGAAGATATCTTTTAAATCCAGTTGCTAGTATCTCTTGAATCTCCATCTGGTATCAGTCTGACCAGTCTTAATTCGGTATGTTCAAGTTTTCATGTCACTCGGCCAGGGAGTCTCCATCTGGTATCAGTCTGACCAGTCTTAATTCGGTATGTTCAAGTTTTCATGTCACTCGGCCAGGGAGTCTCCATCTGGTATCAGTCTGACCAGTCTTAATTCGGTATGTTCAAGTTTTCATGTCACTCGGCCAGGGAGTCTCTGCATGTGTCTACCAGGAGTCTTTATCTTCTTGGTCTACAAGGCAACTTTTTAAATACTTTAACTCCAGTATTAATAACCATTTGACCAGCTTGTCTAGACAACAAGTGTGATATCTGGTATATGTCTAGACTGAGTCTGGCACATTTAGTGTGTCTGTCATCTAGACCACTTGAGCTATGTCTAGGTCATGTCCGGCATCTTTGTACTGTTTACACTATTACAGTGCCAGTTGTAATCTTATTAAATACTTTTTTTCTTGGTTTCTTTGGGTGTTGTGTGGAAGAAGATCATGTAGAAATACTGCAGTCTACATCACAGTAGAATAGTGATTGTAATTCTCCCTTCATTGATAACTAGTTTAGCACCTGGTTCTCAAGATGACTCTAGGAGAAGGGAAAATGAAGAGAGAGGAATGTGGATCACTGTTATCTCTGACTCTCCTGTAATACTTCTGCATCCCACAACTTTGCATATTTCAGTTTTCTACCATGATCCACATTTTAAAACCTGTCAACTCAACGGCTCACATTTTTTTTAGTCACTACTCACATTGTCAACAAGAAGAGTGTTTTTTGTGTGTGGAATGAGACATGATCACCTTATACCTTGTTTAGTATGGGACAAAGTCAGTTGTGTATTTGCATTGCAATTATCATGAATCTCCCATATCTAGCTATGCCCTATCTTCTAATCTTTACTTTGCATTAGTTATACGGGGTCCAAATGATACCCGATTAACGTGCTTTTGATATTAACTCCACAGATTATGAGAGACAGGGAGTCAGGCAATTCCAAGGGTTATGCTTTTATCAACTTTGCCAGTTTTGATGCCTCGGATGCTGCAATCGAGGCAATGAATGACCAGTATTTATGTAACAGAGCCATCACAATCTCATATGCATTCAAGAAAGATGCTAAAGGAGAGAGGTGTGGTTCAGCTGCAGGTAAAGTTTATGCATCACTTCCTTTTATAATATAGTATATGATTGTATGGTATGAAGTATGGGATTGTAATGTTTGAAGTACATTCATCCATTATGTTATGGTCCACGAACTGTGGGATTGTAAAGTCTGAAGTACAGTCATTTATTATGTTGTAGTTCATGAAGTGTGGGATTGTAATGTGAGAAGTACGTGTGTCCATTATGCTGTAGTCCATGAAGTGTGGATTTTAATGTATGAAGTAGTCATCTTTTGTGTTGTAGTCCATGAACTATACAAATGTAATGTGTGAAGAACATGTATCCGTTATGTTGTAGTCCATGAGATGTGTGATTGTAATGTGTAAAGTACATGCATCCATTATGTTGTGAAGTACAGTCATCCATTATGTTGTAGTCCACGCAGTTTGGGATTGTAATGTTGTACAGTCATCGGTTCTTTATGTTGTAATCTGTGAAGTAGCCATCCATTATGCTGTAGTCCATAAAGTGTGGGATTGTATTGCATAAAATATAAGATTGTAAAGACTTGAATTGTTCAAGGGGAGGCTAGAAGGTAAAGGCAATTGCATTGATTAGTTTTTCACAAGTAGACAAAACAAAATTGTTCTGTATCCTATTTCTCGATAGTCTCCTTGCCTTGCAACACATGTAATCCACCAAAACTGTCGGGTGTGGCCAACAACCAGGTTTGCACAGCTGACATCACCTCATTGTTATCTGCAAATCTGTGACCCCTATGTTCTTTCTATAGCCCAACCAAACAAAAGTTCAGTGGTGGCAATTCTGGGCTGTATGTGCAGTGGTATAACAAGCACTGGTCACAGTTTCACCCCTTTCCTGCAAGTGCATCAATACAGAGCCATAGACTGAAATGATATTTCTTTTGCATTGTGTTCTGTGGAGACTAGAATACAGTTGCCTTTACTTAGTGACTTCCTCTGGTACCTTATAAAATATGTGTCGTATCTTCTGATTAGCTATATTTTTTTGTCTGTGTGTGTGTGTGTGGCTCATTTATTTTTTATTTCCCGGGACTCGGTTCAATCTCAGTTAATTTTTTTGTATTGCATTTCTTTTTATTCCTGCCATTTTTTATTTTTAATTCAGGCGCTTATTTAGTCAGGTTTATTATTTTGGCTGATTTCATGCTTTTTCCCACAGAACGTTTATTGGCAGCACAAAATCCACTGTCTCTGACCGGGAGACCTCACCAGATGTTTGCTGATGCTCCACCGCCACCAATTCTGCCATCTGCTCCACAGACAGGCCCAGGATCATTAGTTCCCCCTCCACCACCACCCATGGGGATTGTTCAAGGTTTGCCACCACCAGCCTCAATTCCTCCAATGGGTAAGACTTTTGTTTTCTGTTTCAGAGGTAGCTGATTGCTATCTTTGTATCCAGTCTTGGTGCTGAGCTGTTGCTAATTTACAGTTGTTCTTCATACACAGTGATTGAGCCTTTGACCCTGTTTGATGTAGTACAGTGGCAAGTACACGGGACTTCTAATCCTGATTGTATAGACTTTACATTGACTGGGAATGTGTTTAGCTTTTTATGAGGCAGTGGGGCATTAAGGTGAGATATCTGCCTCTGATGAGAGGAGTTTTAGTTCGGTTGTGGATAATTATTGTGACAGTACAAGAATCCTGAGAATGTCATACTGCCTGACTGCTGTTGGCTAAGGATTGGAGACTTGTCTGTAAAACTTCATGGAGCAATGCTATGTTTTCATGCACTGATTTAGCACCTCATAGTGTGACTGAAACATGAGAGCACTAGTGAATACCTTTAAACTTAAAGTGTGATGGAGATGGTCCCTAAATGCAGTCAAACACACCTACTAGACTTCCTGTGATGAAGATGGTCCTTGAATGGAGTCAAACAAATTATCTTGACTGAAGATGGTCTTTGAGTGCAGTCAAATAAACATACTTGATTTCCTGTGATAAAGATGGTTCTTGAATGCAGTCAAGCGAACATACTTGACTTCCTGTGATCAAGATGGTTCTTGAATGCAGTCAAGCGAACAAACCAGACTTCCTGTGATGAAGATGATCTTTTAATGCAGCCAAACACACTTGACTTCCTCTGTAAATATTGCTCTTGTACTTTGGGTATTTGCTGCTGTCATGATCTTGCACACAGCATTTGCTTTGTAGATGATTAAGATGCCCAAATAACAATGTTTAACAGTCACCAGATTTCCTAAATGCAAAATCAATCATTATTGCATACATGACGCTGATAATTTTATTCAGTTAAAACAGCCTACAAGTTGAAATAAATAGAAGTGTGAGGTAATATACCCACAGTAATATTCAGAAAGTTCTGGGAAGACATTTTTAAATACATTAAAAAACAAAAATTTTATTTCTGAAAATGGGGAGGAGGGGGGTTGTTAGGCCCATGTAGATTGTGAGGCCCTGAGCTGTAGCTTTTTTAGCTGATACTTAATGTCAGCACTGATCATGTTGCTGTGGTGAAGCTGGGCATGACTTACAGTTGTGTATGTCTGTTTGATTGCAGTGGGTACACTGCCAACTACAGTATCAATGGCTCCACCCCCGCCTGCCCCGACACTTCACCCTCCACCAGGAATGCAGCAAAATTTCAATCCATTGGGAATGCCACCTCCACCCATCCCTCCAGGTGAGATTTTTGCATTCTGTTTACTTGGTTTGCTAGTAGGTTTTTAATTTGCACCTGTCCTGTTAATTTCATAGAGTTTACTGACATAATTGCACCCTTTACTAGAACATGTTTTTGTTGGTTTAAATGCAGTACATATTTGTCTTGATTAAGGGGCCACGAACAATATTTCTTTTTCCAGTTTATGACAGAAATATTGATTTTTCTGATTGTTTTTTCTATGTGGAAAGTTTAGCATTCATAGAATCGATTGCACAAACAATTTGTCTCATTTGTAAGCAATTTAGCAATAAAAAGTTTATAATAAAGATCCCATCTCATGATTATTTTTAAGAGAAAATAAATTGTAAACAAAAAAGTACCAGTGTTGGCCGAAAGCAGCTGCTGTTTCCAAATAATATTCTAGCACATAGTATGGATCAATTTGTATAGCAATTAGAAATTTGAATTGAGTCTCTAAAGATGTAGATGTACGGAAGGATTTGTCATATTTCATGGTAACAGGAAACAGTCAAATAGAGAGGTTCTGAAGAGACTGGGAGTGAAAAGAAAGTTGTTGAGAAAAAAAAAAAAGGAGACAATTAAAATATTTAGGCCAGATAAAAAGACTCCTTTAAGAAACCATAACTTAGGTAATGATCTAAGGCAAGGGAGCAGTTAATAGGCCTCTATACCTATACAAGTAAATAGATACAATTAAGAGTTGGAGGCTAAACAGAAGTCTCAGACTGAATAGCCATGTCAAAGAGAAGGGGATTGTTGGAGAAGGGACCTGACTAAGGATTGATTGAATCATGAATCTTGCTATTTATAATGAGGAAGTACTTAAACTTTGTAAAGGGAACATTAATCTGCATGCTGAACCTGACGTCCTTCTTATGTGCCTCTCCAGTGAAGTTCTTGCACTGGTCTTTCACACCCTGCAAAAAAAGGGGGGAGGGGGGAGACTCTGCAAAATGGTCTTTATGGAGATTTTACTGTGGTAACAGATTAGGGCAAATGTACTCTGAACTCCATCCTCCTCCTGTTTCACTGACTTATAACTCTTTTAGGGCTCAAGTGGCTTGCATGTTGTCAGAAGATCCATCTTAAACCAGTTGAGGATTTACAAACACAATAATTTTCTTGTAATACAAAGTAGCCTAATATATGCACATACAAATGCAGATTTTCAGCTTATGAGCTCCATGTGTGCGTTGCAGAGCTCGGGGGGGGGGGGGGGGGGGGGGGAGGGGGGGGGGCTCACTGCTATCCTCTTCATCCTAAATCTCAGGCATTTTGTAAAAGATGACTTACGTGTGTTTCTTTCAAAGTCAAGAGTTCCTGAGAGGTGAGGTACCAACTTTCTGCATTAGAAATTTTTTTTTTTAAATCCATATCTTTAAAATGGATATGCAGACAGCACTCTGGTCTTGTTCCAGGAATGGATGAACAATTATAATTTTCCACCTAGACTTACAGCTGGTAAATGCTGTGAAGAAGAAGAGGTGATTACTTTTATCAGATCAGTTCTTCAGTGAGACAGCGGTGACAATACTGTTACATAATCAGTAAATGTCTGTGGTCATCTTCTAGGTGATGTGTGTCAGGTTGTAAAATGTGTGCTTCTTCTCTTTAAGGTCAGAACCAGAACTACCCAGGTGCACCAATGCCACCTCGGCCCCCACCTCCTCCCATGTCTACAGCTGGTATGGATTTTGGTGGAGGACAGATGATGAACCAGTCAAATCCTATGATGAGTATGTCTCATGTTTTTCTGGATTGATAGTTTGTCATCCAATGTTTGTAGTTGTGTTCTGTGTAAGGTGTATCAAGTTATAAATATTGATAGTTTATTAGCACATGTTTGTGGTTATGTTCTATGTGAGGTGTGGCAAGTTGTAAATATTGATAGATTGTTAGCTAGTGTGATGTGTGTCAAGTTGTAAATGTTGTTAGCTCAGAGCTGAATGATGCAAGCAATGAATGGTGTCGCTATGGCAAGCGTTTTTTTTTTTAACCAGCTAATCAAATGTTGATTTTTAAATAGCCATCATATTATTCTCCACTGTCTAAGTCTGCCTGTATATCTTCTTCTTCTGCTATATTCATCCGAAGATGCAATTGCGTTGTATCCGTTTACAGCATGGCTGCGATATTTCCACTTTCGGCCAACACATCCGACTTCTGTGGGCATTTGTTCATAGGATTAGCCTTCCCGGTGCCTGTATATTATCTCTTCACCATCTCTGTGCTGGCTGCTGAAGATGAGGACGGAGCGTGCATGGGAATGCCCCGAGTGCTGTGATGTCAATTCTTGACTCAACTCATTTCCTCAGACTATCTCTGTATTCTCTCTCAGCTGTCTTCTTGGTCTACTCCCATTCAACTCTTTTGTGTATAGTTTTTGTCTTCTTCATCATCATTCATCAGAGTGGCGCAACCGCATCATGTCTGTTTACAGCATAGCTGCAATATTTGCGACTTTTGACTGACACACCTGGGTTCTTTGGGAATTTGTCATGCAGATTCACCTTTGTGGGGCATTTATAGTTTCATATATGGTGACTTCATCATCCCCTGATCCACAAGTATTGACATGACTGCTTAACCTGATGTCCATATATTGGCCTTTCACTAATTGTGGGCTGTACCCTTTACGGAGCAGTCTGCAGATACAAGACTCCAGTTTCCTGTACAAAATAAATGGGCATCTCACTTCCTTAGCGTGTTAGTCAGACTTCTGTCTTTGGCAGTGGTTTCCCTGTATGGTCATTACACTCTGATGATTGTGATCATTGGTAGCAGACGTGTGTCATAAGTAGATTCTCTAAACTAAGGACACCTGAGTCTTTGCTCTCATACAGTGGGACACTCGATGGGCAGACATTTGAACCTGATTAGCCATACAGCCTGTTCTTAAAAGTTTGTAATAAGGCTTTATCTCTTTTAGTTGTACTTCAGGTTGCAGATTCATAAAGGACACTTGGCTTTTTCAGGGATTGGAGCACAAATTAGCAACAGAATGAGAAGGCGCAAAATAAGAGTCTGCAAAATGTGTTTGTGTTCAGTTTTCTGTTAGACCGCTTCCGGTTTAGAAATGGCAGCGTGAGGACGTGTTTGCGGCGACACACGATTTTATTCTAAAATTTTCACTTAATCGGTGTTTTTCTCTTGATAACAGAGTGCGATTATTACTAATTCATTGACGATGGATATTTTCTTGTTCGTGGATACAAGTATTATGTGGTTTAGGGGTGTTATAACGGAATTATTTCTACAAAATAGCCACGGCGGCGGCCGTGTCCTAATTCCGATAATGTAACCGCGTAGGAGCAACGCTCCCATTATAAACATGGGAGTCCACGGGTAAGACCCCAGTCTACTCTAGCATAACAAGGTGCTGAAGTCGGAGGCAACCAGCCAGGAGGCGCACCACAGCAATCAGGATGCCACGCACAAACGCAACAGGGAATATTTCTATATCTGCTAATAAGTTTGATTTCCACCATGAGACCCACTCACGTACACGTGGTACGATTTACCGGCCTACGACAAGAAGAAAGAGTCCAGCTTCAAATACTCGAAGCCTCCCCCTCATGCCCCGTAGAACCAGAAAAGCAGCAAACACAGCTAGCTTTAAAATAATGCACTGGAACGCGGAGGGAGTACATACCAAGAAATTAGAATTAGAAAACGTCTTGAACGAAGAGAATGTACATGTATGCTGCCTACAAGAGACGTATCTCAAGCAAGATATGGCCTTTAAGATCAGAGGCTACCAGTGTTTCCGATCTGACCGCAAAGACAGGAGAAAAGGTGGAATCCTTACCCTGGTCAAAAATAACATCCTTGCGGGCCGGATCGAAACATACATGGAAGGTGCTGAGTATCAAACTCTTGAGCTCAAGTTAGAAAATACAGATTTACATCTGACCAACTATTACTGTCCGAGCGACCGCCCTCAGGCACTGGATACTGTACTAATAAATGAAAAAATGATCATTTGTGGGGATTTTAATAGCCATTCCCAAAGTTGGGGCTACGATCATATGGACCAGAGAGGAGAGAAACTAGAGGACTGGCAGGATGAGAATAGGTTCATCCTCGTTAATAAGCCAACCGACCCACCAACCTTCTACTCTAGAGCATGGCATACCACCTCGACACCAGACCTAGCCTTTCACTCAGCAGACATGGAACTGAATGTTACCAGAACTGTTGGGAAGCAACTAGGAGGCAGTGACCACCGGCCAGTCTTTCTAACTATCGAAAGCCAGTCTGTAAGAGAGAGCAGCACACTGCCAAGGTGGAATTTTAAGAAGGCAGACTGGAAGTTATATCAGCTTCGCACAAATGTTCTGCTGGAAAATCTTAACACAGATAACGACGTAGAAAAAGTAGTCCAAGAGTTGAGCAAACACATACTGCAGGCAGCCCTAGAAGCAGTTCCAAGAGGTGCGCGTAAACAATACAAACCGTACTGGAATTGCGATCTGGAGCAACTGCACAACAATATGGAAACAGAAAGAAAACAGACTGAGACCAGACCTTGTCAAGAGCAGTTTAACAACTACCAACATTCAAAGGCCAAATTTCAAAGAGCCAAACTGCAGGCTAGACGGAGAAGCTGGCAGGAAAACACAAAGTCCCTAAACTTTGAAAGAGACACAAGGAAGTTGTGGAGGTTAATTAAGCAAATTAATGATGAGAATACAGGAAGAAATGGTAATATTGCACTATGCAAAGAGGGAGCCATCCTAACACGAAAACAGGCAGCTGACCACTTTGCAGATTCCTTTGCAGAAGACAGCAACATTAATGTCAGTCCAGAGAAACAGCGAGAGGTTCAAGAAAACAAACAACATACAAGACAAAAAAGATATAATTCCTGAGGCACTGGTGGCAGCATTTACATCCAGCGAGTTAGAGTTAGCAATATCAAAGCTGAGAATGGGAAAATCACCTGGAACTGATGGAATCACCAACGAAATGATCAAGAACCTTGGAACAACTGCCAAAATAAAGCTGCTACGGATCTTTAATCATTGTTGGACCAGTGGCAAAGTTCCTCAAATATGGAGAGAAGCAATCACAATACCTCTGCTTAAACCAGGAAAGAACAGTTCTGATGCCTCCAGCTATAGACCGATCAGTCTTACCAGCTGCCTCTGTAAAACAATGGAACGTATTGTCAACCTTAGACTCCAATGGTACTTGGAAAGTGAAAACATTTTCACGCCGCAGCAGGCAGGATTTAGACAGTGCTACTCCACAGAAGACCAGACAACTTACCTTTCACAAGAAATTGAGGATGCCTTCCAGGAAAAGAAGCTAGTGCTAACGGCATGGATAGATCTGAAGAAAGCCTTTGACAAGGTCTGGAAAGAAGGTCTACTGAAGAAACTGAGAGACTGCAGGGTGAATGGGAGTATGTACAAATGGGTCAAAGCATACTTGTATAACAGAAGATCCCGAGTACAGATAGATGGACTTAAGAGCAAGAAAGTTTTGCTGCGCCATGGCGTCCCACAAGGAGGTGTCCTGTCCCCCACACTCTTCCTAGTCTATATCAACGACCTGCTTTCTGAACTACCCCATGGAATTAAAGCTGCAATGTATGCTGATGACTTGGTACTCTGGTGTACAAATGAAAATGCGACAGTGGCCACCAGACTGCTACAAAGAGCCATAGATGCAATGGCTAAATGGGCCGACAAATGGTGTGTCAGCATCAACATAGGCAAATGCAGCACCACTCTCTTTACCCTTTCTCCTAAACAAAAATCAGGCGCCATGCACATAAATGGAGTACCCCTGAGAGAGGATAAGGAGCCCACATACCTCGGCGTAACGTTTGATGATAGATTAACATGGAGAAAACACATCAACAAGGCAGCAACCAAAGCCAGAAGGAGGGTAGCCATTCTGAGAAAACTAAGTGGAACCACATGGGGTGCTAGCGGGAAAATACTTAGAAAAGTTTACCAACAAAGTGTTCGACCACATCTTGAATACGGATCAACAGCATGGAGTTCGGCATCAAAAACCACATTGCAAGAATTAGACAAAGTGCAAAATCAAGCACTCAGAGTAACCACAGGCAGTATGAAATCAACACCTATAGCTGTGATGGAGAAAATGGGGATGACCCAAGCACTAAGTGAACGCAGAGACACCAAGATGCTTTTACAAGCAGAAAAGTTTCTTAGTATGCCCAGTCACCCTATGAATGAAAGATTAAAAAATTTAGCTTTGTGACGACTAAAGAGAAGTAGTTTTATCCACCAGGCCAAACGGCTCGGCAGACAAACCACTGATTTACCTGCAACTGATAGATCCTTAAATGCTGTCCCAGAACGGACCCCCTGGAGAGAGGAGTATAAGTTTCCAATACACATCAAGACTGAAGTGAAAGGGGTATTTGACAAGGAAGAACAAAACAGTGTGCAGCGCAAAACAGCCACCCTCAGTTTACTTGATGATGAATACCTGCAGAACCTTTGGGTCCGTGTTTACACAGATGGGTCAGCAGAAAGCGCAGTCAGAAACGGAGGTGCGGGAGTGTACATTGAGTATCCTAATAATACCAGGGATACAGCCAAATTACCAACGGGAAAGCACTGTCACAACTATGATGCAGAAGTTCAAGCCATCAAGATAGCGGTAGAGAAACTACTAAATACAGGGTATTTTTCACAACCAGTGGTATTCCTGACAGACGCAAAAGCAGTACTTCAGTCACTCCAGTCTGGAAAATTACCAAGCATACGGACACTATTATCCAAACTAGGCAACCGCTGTAAATTAGTAATGCAGTGGATACCTTCCCACTGTGGAGTTCCCGGAAACGAAAAAGCTGATAAACTAGCTAAGGAAGGTGCAACTGAAGAACAACCTGACATACCAGTCTCTTATCAACAGAAGAAGAGAATGATCAAATCAATCAGAATGCCACCGAAACTGGCACAAGATGATTACCATATTATGGACAGACCAGAGCAAGTTATTATCCTTCGTCTTAGAACAGGGCACAATAGACTTCGCTCCCACATGTACAACAAATTTAAGATTGGCCAATCGGCCATGTGTACTTTTGGACTGGCACCTGAAACAACAGATCACATCCTTCAAGACTGTCCCATATTCAACGCTTTCAGGCAAAACATTTGGCCAAAAGAGACACTTGTGGAAGTCAAACTTTACGGGCCGCTTAGTGAATTACAAAAGACAGTGAAATTCATACAAGAGACGGCTTTGCAGATATAGACAATTTATTTCATGCGAACGAAAGAAGAGAAGAAGTTTTCTGTTAGTTCAGTTTTCCGTAAGAGTTTTAGTGATGTGAACATACTGTACTTCTGTGACCTACTTACAACTTCACAATCTTAAACTGATTGATATGTAACTCATTTGATGATAGTTAATAATCCCATAAAAAAATTGGGAGGAGGGGAGGTGAATAGAAAAATGGCAGGTTATTCTGTTAGATATTTGTTCAATGTATTCTCATCACACTGACTGTGATTTTGACATTTCTTATCAGTTATAATTGTATATATTCTTCTAATTCTGCACTTTACTTCAAGTTATATGCCAGGCTGTCCAATTCTCTGCCACTTCTTGTAGCTTCTTGATATTTTCCCCCTAGTTTATATTGTTTATGCAGTGCAGATTGTATTTTCTGGTTGTGTTAACAACTTATTTTTTGTGTCCCAGTTCACTGGAATTAGTATGCCTGTTGATCTGTTCTGTGGCAGGACACATGATGATGATCTGTTCTGGGCTGTCACGTGTCTGCCTTGATAGGCATACAGTCACTAGTATAGAAGCAGCCAATCTGTCCACTTGTTTCTCATCACATCAATGTGATGTGGAGAAAAGATCTAAAGGATGCTCACAAGGCAGTGAAAACAACTCTGACTTACAGGTTTATTTTGTTGCTGTTTGTTAAAGCTGCTGTTGTCCTTTGCATTCTTAGTTATGTCATAAAATTGTTGTTGTTATTTTCAGACCATCAGCCGATGCAGGGAATGGGTCCACCAGGGCAGATGGGTGGTATGAACAACTTTGGTCCGCCTTCTGGGCCACCTCCTGGTATGAGACCACCACCTCCTGGATGGAGGGGTCCAATGCCCCCCAGAGGTCCACCTGTTGGCTTTGGTAAGTCCAGTTTGTCACATCATGTTTTCACTCGGCTGATGTATTCTGCACTGTTTATACTCTCCTGCACTGAATGGCAGCAGCATCATGCATTATCTCTCTGACACGCTTATCCCTGACTTTTATGCAGACTGAAGAAGTACATGAACTTCTTTTTGGAGACAATCAATTTCTAATACAACACGAAGAACAAAATTCACACCATACTGACTCCTTACATCAAACCTGCACAAAGTATGATGTGAGATGAACACAATGAAAACTGAAATAATGAGAATAAGTTAACAACATAATAACTTGAACGTTCATATTAACAGTAGTACAATCAAACAAGTACGAGAATTTAGATATCCAGGAAGCATATTTACAGATGATTTCAGACTCAATAGAGAGATAAAAGCCAGAGTACAAAAGACAAATGCTGTCACATACCAGTTAGCCACACTGCTTAGACACCCAAATGTCTCCATTTCAGCAAATGATTAATAGCATATGTATCCCTATTTTATAATGTCAGTGCCAAACATGGACAATGAATAGGGCACTAGAACAGAAAATAACTACATGTGAATTGCAGTCTCCATAAGGTCACAAACAACACAGTGTGGGACAAATACATTAGGGAGAAAGTTGAAATAAGGCCATGTCTGGAATATATTGACAAAGAGTGAAATGATTAAGCTATCTAGTGAGAATGCAGCCAGACCAGATTGCATATGAGACTTTTTACAGCAGAACATCTGGGAGTAAGGTGAGTGAATGACCAAGAAAGAGATGGATAAATGGTGTAGCTGAAAAGTGCAAAAACAGGTAAACACTGCCACCCAAGAAAGAAGAAAACAATTCCTCAGTGACGACTTAAGCTATGACCACTGGGTCACCAGAGAAGCATTTTAAACCTAGAAGACTCAGCCCACTCATGATGTAAATACACTTAATATAGATATGTCTAAAGAAAACAGCCAAGGAAATGGTATGAAAGTGATGTATTCAAAATAGACACATCTTTTGTGGATCTTCGTGATAGTTGTATCTACCTTGCTGCACAGTCTTCAGAACCTTCAAGGGTCTCTGTGGTGCAGTTGTATCATTGCATTCTCCATGGTAGAGTGGTTGAAGGCAGATTGCCTGACTTTCTGAAGATGTTTTGTACCTTTGGTTGGAGCACCAGAAGTGTGCTTTGTACAGTGCTGCCGTGGAATGAACAGCTGATCAGCACTGAGAAACTGAGTCATGTATGATCAAAATGATGCAGTGAAGTCAATCTTCAGGATTCATGTTGAAGTTTTGAGAGTGGGGGGAGGGGGGGGGGGGGGGGGGGGGGGGCTACTGTTTCCCTGATAAGCATGTTGTAAGAGTCGACTAATTAGGGGTTTCCTTCTGGAAACAAGACCAAAGTCCAGAAGTGGACAAACAACCAGATGTGTTTGCCAGAGTTTACAGCTGGTGAGCACGAAGAAGAATCTTGTCTTTAACTTTTTCAAATCCCTGTCTACGCAGAATTTTCAATCACAGCTCATAAAATGAGTACCTGAAAATGTTATGGCGGGCAGTATGATACCAATCTTATCAGCTGCTAAATTATGTTGGATGAAGTATGTGCCCACTATTTACCCAGCCTAATCAGGTGGACACACTGGGTGGTGGTTGTCAACATTGTCTGTGCGCAGGAATCAGGATAAAACTAGTCTCATTATGGCTGTACAGTTTAACCTCATTAACACAAAGTCCTTAAGACAAACACCCAGTAAACATCAATACAATTTTGATCCCAGCGGGGATGTATTATTTATAAAACATTTATTAGTTTCCCGTTAGGAAACATTTTTTAACACAAACTCTTTTTTTTTCGGTCCCTTCAAATTCCGTGTTCATGAGTTATTAGTCTGTGTCAGTCTAGCATTATACAGGTCTCACAGAACATGAATGAACAATAGAGGCTGCATATGATGAATCTATAATTTGAACACAATAACTCCTAGATAGAAAGCATGTTCGGACAGAGTTATTTTATTTCAACTATAGCTTTTCTTGTCTTCTTCATCTCCCTTTGTATCACTTCAAGATTGCTAATGCCAGCACATTTTCTAACTGATGTTCCAAAAGTTAAAAATATAACTGATTTTAAATTATCAGCTGACACTGATCAAAGAGTGAACACTTTACACCTAAAGTCAGCCTCAACTGGGCTGATTGGCTCATTAGGTTTACTTGTACCTGCCAGATGTTTAGAATGATCCAGTTCACTGTATAAGAAGTCGCTGCTCTGGTTTATGTTTCTTCACTGTTTAAATGTTTCTTTGCTTTTACAACACTCAGTTTTAGTGACAATCTGCATTTCTGCCATTTTTAATCACTATTGCTATTTTTCCTGTCTCTCTAGTTTACAATAAGTCCTATTTTTAAATTACTAAATGGTGTCTTCATGTCTGTTAATAGTCACCTGTTATTATTTTTGTACAGTTTCTCCCTTGTGATAATTTAAATAATTTATTTTTTCCCTAAGGCTCTCCTGGCAACATGAGAGGCCCAATGAGAGGACCTGTAAACATGCCAATGAATGGACCCAGAGGCCCCATGCCACCCAGAGGAATGAGAGGCCCTCCACCAGGAATGAGACCACCCCCACCAAGATTTGGGGGCAGTGGGGGCAATGATGATAGGGGCAATACTGGCAATATTGAGTATTAAAACATTGGCAGCAGAGCGAAGTGGTTGGGGCTGCACACACTAGGTGTATTTGTGGTTGGGGTTGCACACACACTAGGTGTGTTCGTGTCTGCTACAGGCACATGTGTATACTGTTGTAAACGTTACAGGCACATCATGATTATTGTTCTGGTTAGTAAGATAAGTCATCACATTTGTGTTGGTCCCTTGCTGAAGGTCAGTTGCAGTGATTTTCCAGGGCTGTCTAGTTTGTTTAAATACTTTTTGTCTCAGTGCCGACACTCACTGAACGCTCTGAACATTGTCAGCTCACTTCTTATCATTGTCATCTCACTTCTTATCATTGTCATCTCACTTCTTATCATTGTCATCTCACTTTTTATCATTGTCATCTCACTTCTTATCATTGTCATCTCACTTCTTATCATTGGCTATTTTATAAGTCTTTTGACTGACATCAGGAGATAATCTGTTTATATAATCCTATTGTGAGAAGAGGGAAACCCTCTGTGTATCTTGATATTGGGGAAAGTTAGAGGAGAGGATTGATTGACAAAGCACAAGACAGAAGGCTGTGGGCAGACATGATTACAAGCCCACACAGACCATAATAATTTTGCTAAGATGTTTTTACATTTCTCCCAATAATTCTATTTTTCATTCTGCAAGACCTCTACCTAAGTTTTTCCATGAAATTTTACCTTTATATTCACATTTCTAAAATCTTTCAGATTATTGTGTAAAATTCCAATGTCCTTGCTTCTGCACCACCCTACAATACTATTGAGTATATATAATACCTGGCTATTTGGATATTAGAGGGAAATCACTGGATACATTTCTCTTACTGCTGACCGTTACTATTCAAGTGAACCAAAAGTGAGAGGTGCTGGATAAGACACAAATAAAAAAAAATCTGTTTCCAGCACAGTTAGGGAGCCTTTCTGGTATCCACAAGGTAAGAGAATTACAAACAGTGATGGCTTTTAATGTGGAAAAGCGCATGAAAAGACTTGCAGAATGTAGCAAACAGTGATGACTTTTAATGTGGGAAGCTCATGAAAAGACTTGCAGGATGTAGCAAACAGTGATGACTTTGAATGTGGGAAGCGCATGAAAAGACTTGCAGGATGTAGCAAACAGTGATGACTTTGAATGTGGGAAGCGCATGAAAAGACTTGCAGGATGTAGCAAACAGTGATGACTTTGAATGTGGGAAGCGCATGAAAAGACTTGCAGGATGTAGCAAACAGTGATGACTTTGAATGTGGGAAGCGCATGAAAAGACTTGCAGGATGTAGCAAACAGTGATGACTTTGAATGTGGGAAGCTCATGAAAAGACTTGCAGGATGTAGCAAACAGTGATGACTTTGAATGTGGGAAGCTCATGAAAAGACTTGCAGAATGTAGCAAACAGTGATGACTTTGAATGTGGGAAGCTCATGAAAAGACTTGCAGGATGTAGCAAACAGTGATGACTTTGAATGTGGGAAGCTCATGAAAAGACTTGCAGGATGTAGCAAACAGTGATGACCTTGAATGTGGGAAGCGCATGAAAAGACTTGCAGGATGTAGCAAACAGTGATGACTTTGAATGTGGGAAGCGCATGAAAAGACTTGCAGGATGTAGCAAACAGTGATGACTTTGAATGTGGGAAGCTCATGAAAAGACTTGCAGGATGTAGCAAACAGTGATGACTTTGAATGTGGGAAGCTCATGAAAAGACTTGCAGAATGTAGCAAACAGTGATGACTTTGAATGTGGGAAGCGCATGAAAAGACTTGCAGAATGTAGCAAACAGTGATGACTTTTAATGTGGGAAGCTCATGAAAAGACTTGCAGGATGTAACAAACAGTGATGACTTTTAATGTGGGAAGCTCATGAAAAGACTTGCAGAATGTAGCAAACAGTGATGACCTTGAATGTGGGAAGCGCATGAAAAGACTTGTAGGATGTAGCAAACAGTGATGACTTTTAAAGTGGGAAAGCGCATGAAAAGACTTGCAGGATGTAGCAAACAGTGATGACTTTGAAGCGCATGAAAAGACTTGCAGGATGTAGCAAACAGTGATGACTTTGAAGCGCATGAAAAGACTTGCAGGATGTAGCAAACAGTGATGACTTTGAAGCGCATGAAAAGACTTGCAGGATGTAGCAAACAGTGATGACTTTTAATGTGGGAAGTGCATGAAAAGACTTGTAGGATGTAGCAAACAGTGATGACTTTGAAGCGCATGAAAAGACTTGCAGGATGTAGCAAACAGTGATTACTTTGAAGCGCATGAAAAGACTTGTAGAATGTAGCAAACAGTGATGACTTTGAATGTGGGAAGCGCATGAAAAGACTTGTAGAATGTAGCAAACAGTGATGACTTTGAATGTGGGAAGCGCATGAAAAGACTTGCAGAATGTAGCAAACAGTGATGACCTTGAATGTGGGAAGCGCATGAAAAGACTTGTAGAATGTAGCAAACAGTGATGATTTTTAATGTGGGAAGCGCATGAAAAGACTTGTTAGGCCCATGTAGCAAACAGGGATGCCTTTTAATGTGGGAAGCGCATAAAAAGACTTGCAGGATGTAGCAAACAGTGATGACTTTGAAGCGCATGAAAAGACTTGCAGAATGTAGCAAACAGTGATGACTTTTAATGTGGGAAGCGCATGAAAAGACTTGTAGGATGTAGCAAACAGTGATGACTTTTAATTTGGGAAGCGCATGAAAAGACTTGCAGGATGTAGCAAACAGTGAAGATTGTGTGTTTGTATTAGGTTATGACTTATTCTTTATGAATGCAAAGGTAGTTTCTAATTTTCTTGCACATAATAGTCCGACTTGTTACACCTCTGAGTACTCTCATGTTTGCTGCTGTCTGCATATATTTGACTAGTCCAGATAAAGTGTAGCTTTTGATCTATGCCGTGGTTCATAAGATGATCATTTCTTCTCTGACTGCTTTCTTTCATGCCAGAAACGTGTTTATTGATACTTTTATGTCTGTTGGTTGTAAAATGGTGAACACATTGCACACAAATAAAGCATTGTTGATTTTTAGACCTTGTTTTGGTATAAATAAACATAAAAGAGGTTGAATTTTGGGCACCATATGTTTGTATGTGAGCAAATGTGTGTATGTTTGTAACATGGATTAAATGACAGTGTGTGCTTATGTTTGTGAGATACCCAGGTTAAGTATCTGTGTTTGTTTGTGAGCGTGACTTGTGTTAACAGTTTGTGTGACACGAGTTAAGTGAGTGTATAAAATTTGTATATGATTGTGTGAAATGTGAGTGTGGCAGGCCTTGACGGTGTGTACATGATTGGTGTGAGTGTGGCATGCGTTGGCAGTGTGTACATGTTTGATGTGAGTGTGGCATGTGTTGGATGGTCTGTACATGTTTGATGTGTTGACGGTGTACATGTTTGATGTGAATGTTGCATGTGTTGATGGTTTATACATATGTTTGATTGATGTGGGTGTGGCATGTGTTGATGGTGTACATGTTTGATGTGAGTGTGGCATGTGTTGGATGGTGTACATGTTTGATGTGAGTGTTGGATGGTCTGTACATGTTTGATGTGAGTGTGGCATGTGTTGGATGGTGTGTACATGTTTGATGTGAGTGTTGGATGGTCTGTACATGTTTGATGTGAGTGTGGCATGTGTTGGATGGTCTGTTCATGTTTGATGTGAGTGTGGCATGTGTTGGATGGTCTGTACATGTTTGATGTGAGTGTGGCATGTGTTGGATGGTCTGTACATGTTTGATGTGAGTGTGGCATGTGTTGGTTGGTCTGTACGTGTTTGATGTGAGTGTGGCATGTGTTGACAGGGTGTACATGTTTGATGTGTGTGGCATGTGTTGACAGGGTGTACATGTTTGATGTGAGTGTGGCATGTGTTGACAGGGTGTACATGTTTGATGTGAGTGTGGCATGTGTTGACAGGGTGTACACGTTTGATGTGAGTGTGTCATGTGTTGGATGGTGTGTATATGTTTGATGTGAGTGTGGCATGTGTTGGTTGGTCTGTACGTGTTTGATGTGAGTGTGGCATGTGTTGACAGGGTGTACATGTTTGATGTGAGTGTGGCATGTGTTGACAGGGTGTACATGTTTGATGTGAGTGTGGCATGTGTTGACAGGGTGTACATGTTTGATGTGAGTGTGGCATGTGTTGGATGGTGTGTACATGTTTGATGTGAGTGTGGCATGTGTTGACAGGGTCTACATATTATGACGATGATGTGGTGTCCACCTGGCACAATTAAAGAGCTGAGCTGGTTAGTCGTAGTTGAGGTTTAAAACTTTGCATAAGCAAAGCGTTTTCAGAAGCAAAAATGCCTTCAAAGCTAAACATTCTGCCATGCCTAGTCCTCCAAATTGGGCTGGAAGTCTATAGTGGCTAAAGTTTTATGTGTATTCATCAGGTTGGGGGCTGCAGCTGGACAGTGGCTAGACATTTGTCTGTCGTCTGTCAGCCCAAATGTCTTGTTTGAATCAGCATTGATAAATATAACATATAGGTTGGCCCAGCCTGACATAAAGTCAATAGAGAACACTTCACGCCTGTGGCACATTAGGCATACGATGCTACGCTCATGAGGTGATGTGGTCAACATAAATCTGGCTGCCTTTAATTCTCCAGACTTTATCTGGTATCAATTTAAGGCTGGGTCGAACTGAATGCCATTAGTTTCAGCAATTTGCCTATACTAAAAATGACTGATATAAAGTGAGATGAATCAAATGACGCATGTGCCACAATAGTGCTGTTAGTGCACCCACGCATTAACCTTTCAAGGCAGTGTTCCATGGGCAACAGTAGTTAAGTCATACTTCATCAAAATAGGTCCAAAATCAAGGAATGTGGATTATAATGGGTCATGGAAACAATGCCTATTAAATGAATCGGAGACAATCACAGGTCTGCAACCAATGGAGGACACAAGAGCCCAGCAACAAGCAGACAAATTTAGAAGACTGACAGATCACCCCATGTACCAAAGGTTTAATGGT